TTGTTGATATATTTGTTGTTGTTTTTTTTTCAACGGGTTTCTTCTGCAACCAAACACCTAACCCAATTGCCCAACCGTCCAACCATGCAACCACCCGAGTAGTGATTAATCGTACCACCCACTCTAATTTCATTGTTGATATATTCGTTGTTGTTTTTTTTCATGGCGGTCTTTGCAGATCGACAAGCATCTGGTGAGAGGAATCCGATGGTGGACGAACATGCTGAAGGAGGCATTGACGGATTATCACAGCGCGATTTGCAGAACAGGCTATATGATGATAGATTCAATGATCCTGTCATTCGATCTGAACTGGAGGAGGACTCAGTGAAAAATGTGCCGAATGGTACGAATACAACGTAGCAACTTTGCTTCACAACAAAAAACAACTATCTAATGAAGCTCGGCCTGTAGTTCGGTATGATGTTCCAGGTAAGGTTCCGAGTGATTATGCGGTGAGAAGGGCGTGTGGTCGGAACCTCACGGAAAATGAAGGCCTTCGATGGACCCAGGAGGAGTTGTTGCAAATGTTGAAGAAGAAGGAGGAGGAAGTGAAGATGTTGAGGAATGTCTTTCATTGTGTGGAGTTGAATGCACAGGTGGTGCTTGAAAGTTTCCTTGCAGGGAAACGAAGTGAACATGTGATAGATTCCTCCGTGTCCGACTCTTTGGACGTGAAGAAGGAGGTGCAAAGTAGTGAAGATATGGAAAGAGAATTTCAAACTCTGATTCAATCATCGGTCAAAAATGATTTGTTGGATCAACTTTCGGAACTTAGTAATAGAGTTGACACACACCTGTTGCAAGAGTGTCAGAGTTTACGTCGGCGACAAGAAGAAGCGGAGATTGCAATGAGAAAAATGTTGTTGGCTGGTGCATTGCCGTCCATTGATCCTTCTTTTGCCTCCAACCTATTTGGAATTCCATCGAGTGCGACTTTGGAAGGTCTTCCAAAATCGTCTCTGATTGCAATGTTACGGTCACTGCAAAGTCTTGGTTCGGAATTGATACACATGAATGCGTTTTTAGAGGTGCAAAGTGCGATGAAGTTTTCAGTCAGTGATGGTCAATTGAATAGTACGGTTATGTTGCTTGGAGATTTATACAAGCAGACACACGATGCATTGATGGATTCAATGTCCAGGGACAATTTTTCCGAGCTAATGGGCGATGGATTGGGGAATGGGATGCTGCGATGTTACAAGGAGCAGTTATACATGATGAGAGTTTTGTTGGTCAATATCATTCGTACGTACTCGCTAATGGGATTTATAAAGGATATGGAGAATGTGAAACGAGAATTGAATGCTTTGGCAAGCATTAATAAGCAACATGAGACGAGATTGCATGAGTTGGTGCGTGCGTTAGTCGAAGTGCTAAGGCGTCGATGTCCCCGTTGTGGCCGTATGGGTCATTATGCAAAAAGGGACTACAAAAAGGTGAATGATTTGATGGTTGTTCGACCTGGCTCTGATCACAACACAAATCTTTATGCTTTAGGAAACGTTGTTGTTGACGAGCATCAACAGTTAGCAATGGAAGAAAGGAGAAGGCAACTTCGCGAGGATAATGATGTACACGAGTAGTGAAAAAAGCAGAATAGAGAATAAAGACATAGACTGGAATAGTATTGAAGAAGTTCAGTTCTTCGATTCTTAGTTCCCTGTCTTTCTCTATCTTTACATCTCTTTCTAACTTTCCCTCCTCTCTCTCTCTTTCTCTCTCTGCTTCTCCGTCTATGTATGCATCTTCGTTTTCTTCAGTTCGTTGGGTAGGATAACTATAAGAATGTTTTGCTTCAAATAATATTGATAATGATTTTTTAAAAAATTTATAAAAAAACATTTAAATTTGATTTTTTTTGTCGGTTGCTCTTCCATTGAATTCGACTCTTTATGTTTGTTTTTCCATCTCTTTGTCCTTTTTGTTTTATATCTCTCTTTTGAATTCGACTCTTTCAATTTGGATCCTTCTTTTATGTTTTTTGTTTTGATTTTAAAGTTTTTTTTTTCTTTCCGTTATGACATTATCTTTCCCAAATATGATAGACATTATGAGAAACTATTATTACTATATTAAAACCGAATCTACGTTTTTGTTGCTAACGTTGTTGAAATTTTGTTTCTTCATGTTATATGGTTTTCAGTATGTGGTCTTATATTATTCTACTTATTGGTATAAAAAAAAAAAAAAAAAAGACCGACAGGTGAGTATACTTCAAGAAATATTGAGCCGAAAAAAAAAAAGTTTTCAAATAATATCTGATGCCCCCTTCACACCCCCCCCCCCCCCCCAAAAAAAAAATAAAAAATGCGAATATGGTATGTTACGAAAACGTGATTTAATGGAGATTCGTTAAAGAAAAGCATCGATAGTTAAAATAAAAAAACAAAACAACAACAACATACATTCAGCATCTTCGATTACATATTGTCGAAGGAAAGAAAAGCATGGTTATTCGAAAACAAGGTACATATAATTATGTTTCATTCCACGCTGAAAACATTAAGCCGCTTAGATGAAGGAAAGTAAATAATATTGGGAGGGTTGGGTCGCACTGTGTAATGTAAGGAATATCGGAGAAGGAACCCGTCCGATAATAAATAATG